AACCGGGAAAGATCGTAAAGGAGAAAAACGACGCCGTAGTAAAAGAGATGGAGAAACAACCGGCGAGCAGTTGGAGTATCCATACCCGGCCGGAGATAATCGCAAAGTACGAGATCTTCGGGCGAATCGGATCCGGTGCCTACGCCGACGTTTACAGAGCTCGCCGTCTCTCCGACGGTCTCGTAGTCGCGCTCAAGGAGATCTTCGATTACCAGTCTGCGTTCCGTGAGATTGATGCGCTCACCATCCTCCATGGATCTCCTAATGTCGTTGTTATGCACGAGTATTTCTGGCGAGAAGACGAGAACGCAGTGCTCGTGCTCGAGTTTCTTAGGACGGATCTCGCCGAGGTGATCCGAGATGGTAAGAGGCGGAAGAAGGAATCAGGCGGGGATGGATTTACGGTGGGGGAGATCAAGAGATGGATGATTCAGATTCTATCTGGAGTTGATGCATGCCATAGGAATTTGATTGTTCATAGAGATTTGAAACCTGGGAACATGTTGATATCTGACGATGGAGTGCTTAAGCTTGCAGATTTTGGTCAGGTGATTTTGATACTTATGTTAGTCACATTCCATTTTTTGTTGCTTAGTTTCTCTAAAATCATGAACCACTAAATCTTTTGATTAATCCCTGGACAAAAAAAAAATGCTTAGGTTCTCTAAAATCTGGAAGAACAATCGAATTCCTATGTAATAAAGTGGCAGGACCAATCATTTGAATGTTAGTTATTGAGAGATGAACAGTTCTTTCATTTTGTCTGTCTTGTGAACCCATTTATTACTTATTCCTAGTGGAGCAATTTTAGATTCTTGAGTCCATGATTTTATTTATGTTATTACCAGAGTTTCTGTGAAGTTTTCTTTTTGTGTTTGTAAAAGTTAGTTGGCTTCGTGGATCGTTTACAGGCTAGGATACTCATGGAGCCTGATATTGTCGCTTCAGATGAAAACCAACAGGGTTACAAACTAGAAGACAAAGATGGAGAAACTAGCACAGAACCACCAGAAGTCATTCCTGATTATGAGAACTCGTCTCAGCTAGGGTCTGATGGTCAGGAGCAAGAAACGATGAGTAAAGACGAATACTTCCGACAGGTGGAAGAGCTCAAGGCTAAACAGGTTGTAAAAGATGATACCGATAAGGATTCGAACGTGCACGACGGAGACACATCTTGCCTTGCAACATGTACGGTTAGTGAAATGGATGAAGAACTCGGTAGGAACTCTTTTTCTTATGATGCTGATGAAGCGTTGGATGAAACACAAGGTTTGATGACATCTTGTGTGGGAACCCGATGGTTTAGGCCACCAGAACTGCTCTATGGATCTACAATGTATGGGTTAGAGGTCGATCTATGGTCGCTTGGTTGTGTATTTGCAGAGCTCTTGTCTCTTGAGCCTTTATTCCCAGGAATTTCAGATATTGATCAGATCAGCAGAGTGACCAATGTGTTGGGAAATCTAAATGAAGAGGTCTGGCCAGGTTGTGTCGATCTTCCAGACTACAAGTCAATATCGTTTGCTAAAGTAGAATCTCCGCTTGGTATAGAGGGCTGTCTTCCCAACCATTCTGGGGATGTGATAGTGCTGCTCAAGAAGCTTATCTGTTATGACCCGGCTAGTAGAGCTACTGCTATGGAGTTGTTGAATGATAAATATTTCAGTGAAGAGCCTCTGCCAGTTCCCGTTTCAGAGCTCTATGTGCCTCCGACAAGGCGTGGGCCAGATGAGGATTCTCCGGGAAAGTGGAATGATAACAGAGAAATGGATTCAGATTCAGATTTTGATGGTTTTGGACCCGTGAATGTAAAGCCTACCAGTAGTGGATTTACAATACAATTCCCCTGATCCGGAATGGCATTTAAGGTATGCAGTCAAAACTCAAAATCTGACATGTGTTTTGACTTAGGTCTTAATAGATGCAACCACTTCTTTCATATCTCATAATTCTGTTTTTGCCAACATTGAGTCTTGAATCTCCTTGAACTCAGTTTTATGTGTTTATCTCTGATGTTTCCTTGTCTGATCGGTTACATTTGGCCAGGTCCATGGTTGAGAATCTTGATCCGCCGACTTTCCTGAGTTCGCCTACTCTGTCATATCGAAAACGGTAGCATTTACAAGAGGCGAAGTTAAGTTGGTGTTAGCCTTTACCAAGCTAGCTAAAGAGCTAGTTTCCTTGTTTTCCAGGCCAATCTCTACCCTATTTTTCCATCTCAAGTAACAATGAGAAAATATAAAGATAAAATCTATACATATGCTCCAGTTTGCTTCGTGGGATCTGTGTTTCTTCATTGTTTCTATATTTGATCTTGTATTTTTTATCTGTTTATCAATTTTGTAGTGTTTTCATATCAACGTGTGTAATAATAAAATTCGTGTTATCATCTTCACTGTGTTGAAGGTTGAATGTGCAATCCATACATAATGTTGCCATGAATAAAAGCCAATCCTAAAATAATATACCAAATTACATACAGTAATCAAATTCTTACGTCCATTTGACATAATAAAATTACCATAAGTAGCACACACAAAAATTGACCAAATAAATAAGCCTATGAGACTATACATGTTAAATATTAAAAGTAAGGGGGCTATTTTAAAAATAAGACAAAAGTTGAGAGGCAAAAACATAAATTAATAACAGTTTCCAAGCATCTATCGGCGCAGTCTCCCTAGGGTTTTTTCTTGTGAAACGGACATCGAGATTCCAGGAGGGGTGACCTGAACAATCGGAGAGAAATGGGGTCGAGTGAGAGAGATCAGCCGACGACGACGCAGCATCCCCCGCCGCACATCAGCAGTCTCGTCGTGCGGCCATCCGGAAGCAACGACGGAGAAGCCGACCGCCAGGCCGCCGCCGCCGGAGACTATGAGCCTGGAGAGGTCTCCCGTGACCGGCCCTCTTATGCTCGCTCAGATCGTTATAAGGGTGACAATGGTTCGTATCTCTTTTTCTGCTGGATTTCTTCTCGTTATGGTTTCGATTTTCGAGTGAGAACGACGTACAGAAATACCTGTGAGAGGAAATTATGGGTTTGAGAAGAATGGTTAGCAGTTACTGGAATTGTTTGTTTCTGCATCCCACAAATGTTTGCTACTGTTTACCTCTTATCTTAATCAATGTTTCGTTTCTATTGACTTGGGAATCTGATTGTGTAAACCTTGTTTATGGTAATCATGAAACTGTTATGCTAGTTATGAGTATTTTGGTTCCTGAGATGTCTGTAAGCTCTTATACATACTACTTCTACTATAAATGGCCACAATGCAGTGAGATGTCTGCGCTTGCCTGCAAGAACTTAGGTCTTGCTGAAAGAATGTTAGTCTGTTTGGTCAGTCTGTTGATATTCTTGTGTAAACTTGTTTTGGTGATATCTTTTTATCTGATATTGTGGGTTTGCTGTTTTTTGAGTAACTGGAATAAGAATTTAGATATGTGATATGGATTGTAGCTTAAGAGTTCTGTGAAACTTATGGTATTGTTGAGATTTTACATTGCTACAGATGCGTAGCTAACTTCCCTCTTCAGTGTAAAGACAGTGAAGAATCTTGTGCTGACTTGTTCAGTATATGCAATTATACTTGGAGAAATGAGAATGATGTTGAGGCATCAATAGACTTGTAATTTCACATGGTCGGTGCTTAACCGTTTTATTAGTGCTGTGCAAAGAAAAATCCCCTTGATAATGTTTCAACTTTGTTGTCTGCTAATATATACCTTTGTGATTCTTCGGTGATGAGTGTGTGTAACTTGCTGACTTGATAATAGTTTGCACGTTTTGCTATACTAGTTGATCCAGCCTCCTTCTGCTGGCTACTACTTTTTCTGTGTAGGACATAGGACTCGCGCAAGTTCTAGCTCACCACCCAGTCGTGCATATTTAGATCACCGACATGGCTCTGATCTTAATCATTCAGGCGCTCTGCCTCGTAGTCGTGAGTTCAATAGCAGAAGGGAGCTAACTGGGAGACACAGAGATTATTCGCCACCTTATATTAGAGGTGGAGCTGGTGCTCGCCCTTATGGAAGAGGTTTTGATGCGCCCGAACCTGTGCATGGACCTTTTAAAAGTGAGGGCATGAGCAGAAACAACTACCCAAAGGTACAACCAAGAGATGGAGATTGGTACTGTCAGGAGCCATCGTAAGTCTGCTTGGCTATTCAATATTTCCAAAAGAATCTCAGGGTGTTCTATGCACTCTACAGAAGTTTGTTATCCATATCTAATATCTTGCAATCTACATAAGTTTCCAAATTTCATTTGTATGTTTTCTTTATGGTTACAGATGCAGAAACTTGAACTTTGCCAGACGTGAATCCTGCAACAAATGCAAGAGGCATCGCTATGGACCTGTCAATAGTTCACCACCGCCTCGTCTTCTTCCTCCTCTCATGAATCTCTCCCCAAGAAGAGACTTTAATGGCTACAGATCTCCTCCTCCACGTGGCTGGCCCAGAGACTACCCGCCACCAAGACATAACCATCCTACATGGAGAGACAGAGACAGAGAACGAGACCGTCTCCCTTACTCAGACCATGACTACCCTCCTAGCAGAAGAATAGCATCTGACTGGGTCCATACTGAACCACTCCCAAAACCTCATTATGATAGACGACCACCTCTCAGTCCACCACCTCCACCGCTTCCTCCACCTCGTGGTGGCAGATGGGGACGAGTTTCAAGAGAGAGGAGCAGATCGCCACCATTGAGAGATGGTCCATTACCACCAATGAGAGGCGGTCCACCACCGCTCAGAGATTACCGCCGTGACAGTCACTTTGAAAGAGGAGGGCGAGACGATCGGGATCGGGATCGGCGTGGTGGCGGCAGAGACAGAATGGGAAACTCTTACTGAAGCAAAACCTGTGTATGTCTTGGGAATCTTGTTTAGACAGTCCAAAATTTTCCCCGAGATCAAAATGTTACCCTTTTGTATTACCTTTAGATTCTTTGTTCTAATTTGGAATGTTAGCAAATTTTGGTGCTCTTTCTGTAAAAACAATAAAAAGGAAAAGAACAATTTCGCCATTTCGGTGTTCTCTTTCGTAATCCAAAATTATTTAGGGGCGAAGTCAAAATTATTACCTTTAGCTCGTTTGTTCTAATTTGGAATGTTAGCAAATTTTGGTCCTCTTTGTGTAAAAACAACAAAAAGGAAAAGAACAATTTTCAGTGTACTCTTTCGTAATCCAAAATTATTTAGGGGCGAAATCAAAATATACATCTTCTCCGAAATCAAAATATTTCGTTTCGTTACGAGTGGGGCTGTCTACGTGTCGCCTGGTAATTGGCCGATATCTAAATACGCGCATTTTTAAAAAGGGCATTTTGGATATTTTTTAGCAGAGAAGATCGGACGGTGGAAAAGACAAGAAAACCAAAAGGTATCTATGAATTCACATCGTTGGATCAACGTTTTTAACATGATCCGTACGATCAGATAAGCACGCAAATCTAACCGTTCAATATAACCGAGAGAAAAATTGAAATTTCAAAACATGTTAAGAGAGAGGGAGGAGGAAGATGAAGAAGAACAAAACCGAAAGTAATTCGC